AATCTGCATACCAGTCTGAAGCCTGGAAATAATATACAACTGTAAAAGCAGGTCAGGGTACAATCATCGGTCAGATTTTTGCACTGACTGAGCCAGGTGGAATAACAAATTCTGTCAATAAATCAGAAACACTGATTCATCATGATACAAATGAAATAAATCTGTAAAAATATAACTGGTATAATTTTAAGATATTATTTATAGTTAAGATATTATTTGTGGATCAGGTGACAGAGTTGGTTGCCCCACCATTATCAAAGGAATCAGTGGGTTCTCATTCCTAGCATTCGTTTCAATGTGATGCAGCTCCCTGTCTATTCCTGGGAAGCTTTTCTCATTACACATATCCTGATTGGCTGGTGACTGCAAAGTACACCCTGCATAGAGCTCTACTGCACAGTCATTATTCAAACACCTCTTCTTGTTTCGATATGTTTTATAGGGTAGCCAGCTTATCCATCCATAGGCAGGTGTGCTTAGCCAACTTCTCCATCACCAGGCACTAACTGCCTTTTTGCTTCACCTCACCCTGAGCATGAGCCTTCGCCGTAGGCTGGGACATCCCACCATTTAGCTATGCAGTAAGGTAGTTTCTTTGTACAGTTTAGTATGCCAGCTAACACATGCTGTCCTCTTTGTCAGTACTGTACTTTGGTTTGTTCTGTTGTTGGTCTGTCTGAGAGTGGCCACAGACCATTTGTACGATATGCTCTGCACTTTGCCTCTCATCAGAGGGAGGACACTTTTGCCTCCCTCTGATGAGATCTCTGTAGGCAGACGGGCCATCCTTTGACAGCCAGCAGACTGCAAACATGCTAACCCTGCTGGACAATAAATTCCGGTTTACCTGCCCACAGCCAGCATGCCAACAGATGATGGAGTTCCATCCGGGCCGACTATACCTTGGCCCAATGTAGTAACAGAAACCACCAGATCAATTTAAAAATTTAAGAAATTGTCCCAGGCCACCAGCATGGCAAAAAACAATGTTTCCTCCACGCCGCTGCTTACAAAGCAGAGCTATTTGACAACGTGGCCCCTAAAACTGACCCAAATATGAGGTAGGAGACTAATGTGACTATGGACATTTGCTTCAGCACGCAACAGTCTCAAGTCCTGTAATGTGCTCTTGTATAATACTACTGTTGTTCCCAGAGCTATGGTCAAAGGTCCAGTAGCCATATTCAGGAAGCATGCTGCAGCTGAGGTGTAAAACAACCTACACACGTGATGTATTTCTTACATCCTTTTATCCGTCTTGTGTTTCATTTGCTTCTCTGGGCTTAATAGTTTTATAACATATTGCTCTCATTTCCCTGTGATTGCTGAAAATATCCTCATTTGTTTTAACATTTTGTGATATTGCTAATGAAATAGATGAGGTACTGCGGAGTGAACAGTTAGTCTGAGAAAGAACAGTCACTATGAATGGCAGTGCGATAAGACAACACTGGACCTTTAATGACAAACACAGTGACTGAAATGGAGAGAGACACAAGGAATGCTGGGAGATGTAATTGACTGGCTTGGAGAAGCATGCAGCTCACGCGATAAAAGGGCAGAACCCACCTTCTCCGCTCCCCGGGCCGGCCTCTGTAATTATCTCCATTAGAGAATTTAGCCCAAATACTGCACACAAAACCCAGAATTAGTGCCGCGAAAAGGTGGACAGAGAGAGGGACACCGGCCCAGACACAACCAGTCTGAACATCAACCCATAATACAACACACATGCACACTCAACATGGCGTCAAACAATAGAAAAAAAAA